ACGGGGCTGGGGACCCGATGGCAGACGCACGCTGGAGCACCCTGTTCCTGAAGGACTGCACCCTGTGGCGGACCCACGCTGGGACATGCCATGAAGAGTTGCCCTCCATGGGAGGGACCCACACTGGGTTGGTGCAGAGCTGCAGCCCGTGGGAAGGACTCACGTTGAAGATGTTTGTGGAGAACTGTATCCTGTGAGAGGAACCTTCACACTGGAGCAGAAAGAGTGTGAGGAGTCCTCTCCCTGAGGGACAAGGAGTGGCAGAGACAACGTGTGATGAACTGACCGTAACCCCCATTCCCTGTCCCTCTGCGCTGCACAGGGGGAGGAGGTAGAGAAACGGGAGTGAAGCTGAGCCCGGGAAGAAGGGAGAGGTGGGGGGAAGGTGTTTTAAGATCTGGATCTATTTCACACTGTCCCGCTCTGATTTGATTGGTGATGAATTAACTCCCTTTTCTCCCCAAGTTCTGTCTGTTTTGTCCGTGACAGTAACTGGTGAGTGATCTCTCCCTGCCCTTGTCTCGACCCTCGAGCCTTTCACTGTATTTGCCGTCCAGCTGCAGAGGGGCAGTGATAGAGCTGTTTTGCTGGGCACCTGGCATTTATCCAGGACAAACCGGAACACCCGTGCCAGACACTCAGGGCCAGATCCCAGGCCAGGTTTCCAGGAGCGTGCCGACCAAGGAACAAGCCCAGCCATACCAGCGCAGGGCTCCTCCAGGCTCTGGTAGGCCCCAATGGTGGGAGCTGCAGGGTGTGTGGGCCGACACCTCCCCCTCAGGGGAAGCCCCCCAAGAGAGGCACAGCCTTTGCCCTCACAAAGTGAGTTTACGCCACAGCCTCTGCCCCTGGAAATGGCCGTGCTCCCCCCGACTCCCTTCCCAACGAGGGGTTCTCCTCAGAGAAGCGGGGCCGCCTCCCTGCCCCCTCACAGGCCCTTCCACCCCCACGCCACCCTGCCTCTCCCCACAGCCCTTCTCCACTCCTCCAAGACCTCCAGCGGCCCCAGGTCACGCAGTGGGTCCGAGAGCCCCACAGAGAGTCCAGCAGCCCCCCAACCCTCAACAACCGGGGCTGCTCGGTTGCCGCCACCCCAGCAGCCGGCGAGGGCCACGGCGCAGACGGACTACACGTCCCAGCAGGTCGCGGGCCTACAGCCAGCCGGGGGCCGCGGGCGCCCA